TTGCCTTTTAATATTTTTTAAAGATTTATTTATGTATTTTAGAGAGAGAGGGTGCACACGTAAGCAGGGTTCAGTGGAGAGAGAGAATCTCAAGCTGACACCTGCTGAGCATGGAGCTAATGTGGGGTTCGATCTCACGACCCTGAGATCATGACCTGAGCCGAAATCAAGAGTCAGATGCTTAACCGACTGAGTCACCCAGGGCGCCCCTTGCCTTTTAATACTTTACTGAGTTCTTAGAACCCCACCAATCACATACATACACACACATACACACACACACACGTTGGACGTGGGTTTCATATTTGCAATGTCTTCTTTTCTCTAGATAATAAAAACTGAATGGCAATGAAGACTCTCAAATATTTAAATATAACTTCCTAGATCCAATTAGAAATTATTTTCTCAAACACTTGATGTTATGAGCAAACCCAAAATAGTTCTATTTGGGTTTGAAATTAAAATTAGCCTTGGGGTGGTGGGGGGCCTGGGTGGCTCAGTCATTAAGCATCTGCCTTTGGCTCAGGTTGTGATCCCAGGGTCCTGGGATCAAGTCCCGCATCAGGCTCCCTGCTCAGCAGGGAGCTTGCTTCTCCCTCTCACACTCCCCCTGCTTGTGTTCCCTCTCTCGCTGTCTCTCTCTGTCAAATAAGTAAATAAAATCTTAAAAAAAAAAAAAAAATAGGCTTAGGGCAAATTAGAGTTCATATGGCCAATTTCTACTAAGTATAGACATCTCAAACTGAACACAGCCCAAAGGGAACTCCTGGTTGTCCCCCATCCTCCCCACAAACATGTTCCTGCCCGTGACCCTCATCTCTATAAAGGACACCTCAACATCCCAAGTCTCTCAGGGCTGCAAACTCAAAAGTTCTCCTTGGCCCTCTCTTTCTCTCACCTCCTCATCCAACCCATCAGTAATTTCTAGCCTCCCCACCCCAAATCTGTACCTTTTCTCCACTTTCCCTGTCTCCCAGCTGCAAGCTGCCAGCATCTCTTGCCTGGACCCCCATGAGGAGCTCCTCAGTGGTCTCTCTGCTTTTCTATCTGACTGATCCTTTGAAAATCTCGTCTCCACATAAGTACCCAGAGTGAGCTTTTTTTTTTTTTTAAAAGATTTTATTCATTTATTTGACAGAGAGCGAGCAAGCACAAGCAGGGAGAGCTGCAGGAAGAGGGATAGGAAGAAGCAGGGTCCCTGCCAAGTGGGGAGCCCGATGCAGGGCTCAATCCCAGGACCCTGGGATCATGACCTGAGCCGAAGGCAGATGCTCAACCAACTGGAGCCACCCAGGTACCCCCAGAGTGAACTTATTAAAGCACAAATCAGACCACGTCACTTCTCTGCCTAAAATCCTTTTGGACCACCAGAACACAGCCTTAATTCTTCCCCTGGCCTACAAGGCACCATGTGACCTGGCACTGGCCTGCCTCTCTTAGTTCTTGGGCTCTCTCTCCCCCTGGTTCACTCCATATGAAAACCAAAAGGTGAGTGAACAGATAGTGTTCTAGATTAAAATGTGAATAGCAGTAAAGACACTAGAGTCACACAAAATTATTTCCACAAATACTTATTTCTCATCATTTTTTTAATACAGTTGACCCTTGAACAACAAGGGTTAGAACTGTGCAGGTCCATGTATACACAGATTTTTTTCTTACATAAATACAGCAGTACCGAAGTGTATTTTCTCTCCCTTATGATTTTCTTAATAACATTTTCTTTTCTCTAGATTACTTTATTATACTATATAAGACACATAACAGACAAAACATGTGTTCATCAGCTGTTTATGTTATTGGTAAGGCTTTTGGTTGACAGTAGGCTATTAGTAGTTATGTTCTGGGGAAGTCAAAAGTTATATGAGGATATTTGACTGTATAGGGGTCGGTACCCTTAACCCCCTAGTTGTTCAAGGGTCAACTGTATTTTTTTTAATCTTTCATAGCACCTGCCACTTCTGAGGTTGTTTTGCCCATTTGTTTAGATGCATTCACTCTTTAACACCATCTATAGAACTATACCTTACTATTATACCTGAAATATTTTTTCTTAGCTGTAATGATGAATTACAGAGTCTCCTTAATGTACATTTTTCACCATGCTCTGATTATTTCACATTCCCTCAGCCAATGAGTGTGAGCCAAGTGCTCTGGATGTACTCTCCTGACTTGGAGTGTGTCCCACAATGTGCAGCCTTCTCTCCTGTAGCCTCTCTCTATGTCACCTCGTTTCTGTTCTGGCCCAAACTGCCTTCCCCAGGGTGTGGTGACAGGGCCGAGTGTGCTACAAGTGAATTGCAGCAGAACATGATGCTGAGCGTTAGAATATATGCTATACAGCAACTTGAGGTTATGCAAGAGGACACTAGAGTAAAAACTGCTATCGGGTGATAGGTACCACATCCTGGGAGCCAGTGAAGGGTACGATCAACAGCATGGCAGCAGAAATGCATGCTAAGAACTTTGTGGCTGGAGATTTGTCATTAAGTGCAGGCAACTTCAAAAGTACTGCCAAAAGAATATGCCAAGAGGTCCAAAAGTGAAGGTAATTTGCATCAGCTCACCTCACTATTTGTACCAAGGCATTCCCCTAGACTAAGGAGCTCTGGACTCCCTCTACTTTTTTTTTTTCCCCCCTGCCGAGCAGGGAGCCCGACGCGGGGCTCGATCCCAGGACCCTGGGATCATGACCTGAGCCGAAGGCAGACGCTCAACGACTGAGCCACCCGGGGGCCCCTCCTTCTACTTTTTAATTCTGCATCTCCTCAGCTACTTCATGTGAAGATGCCTTTGCCTTTTGCACACTGGAGTAGCTCCAGCTCTGAGAACAGTGCCTGGCACATAGTAGGTCCTCAATAAATAGTCTCTGAATAAACAAACTCATGAATAAGTGAATATATTGTCTTTCTCTTCTTCTCATTTCCTTTTCACTGTTCCAGACCTCCCCTTGAGAAGGGAAAAATGTGCAGTCACTGAATCATCATAAATCCTCTCCAGACCCCTAATGGACCCTCAGCCACAGTTCAGAGAACGTGGATGTGGGGAACAGAGACCTAGACACTGAGACATTAACCATTAGAAAGAGACAATGCTTTTGGAGTCAGTGGTTGAGGAAACAATGAGTCTACTGTGGTTAAGAATAAACACTGGTGGCCAAAAATCACAGTAAATAAACTTAACAAAGATAAGACCTTGCCAGTGTGTGCAGTGCATTTCACCCATGTAGCCTGCAATCACATAGATATTATTATTACTATTATCATTATTATTATCAATTTTGCCTCTTCTCAATCTGGCATAACCTAAATACCCCAGTGGATTTAAAATTATACAAAAGCACGAGGGACTCCAATTCCTCCTAAATCCACTGCAAAGAGCAAATCCTTTAATATGCACTGCAGGTAAAATACTGTCCCCAAGTGAAACAACTGTAATCCAGGGTAAAATCTCTGTTGGCCTCATAAGCTACTTGTAAAAAAAAAAAAGAGAGAGAGAGAGAGAGAGCATTAAAAGTGACTGCCCAACACACAAACCAGATGCTGTCACCAACAAGGCACAATTACCAAGAACTGAAATCAGATTTAGTCATCTCATCTCTCCCTCATCCTACACACTCTACCTGTTCTTTTTCAGCTTTCAAAAATTGAAGGGGAAAAGGGAGAGGCAACGGTAGACACCAGGGCTATTTTGAGAAATAAAAGGATTCAAAAGTTATAGTGCAACTTCCACTGACATGGTAGCAGATCTCCGAGGAAACCCAGGTGACTCAGAAAGTTCTCTGTCTATAATATCTATATAGAAACAACTCAGTTTCCATACTTAGGAAGTCATCTTCCTCCTAGTTGAGTTTCGTGTGAAATAACTGCCTGATCAAAGTTTCTGCTGGAAGCAATCTGAACATTTCCAATCCACCTGCCCGGAGAGAGCACCAAGGAATCTAGGGTAACCAGCAGAGAGAAGTAAGAGCTCCCAGGGTATGACTCAAACTTCATAAGCATCCTTAAGAACCCCAAGTCCTAAGACCCAGGGGCTTTTAAGGGCAGGACAAAAGATCTCATCAACAAGTTCTCCAAAAAGCCCCCATTCCTCTTGTGTGGGCATTTGTATCTCCCTCTGGCTTGTTTTTGAAAAACAAAGTAAAAACAAACAAACAAAAAACCTGTAAATAGCAGTACCACAACCGCTCCATCCAAGTCTTCCTCACTATAATCTCTACTGTGTCCCACATATTACCCCCAATACAAGTGTGCTGGGAGCCCCTTCCCTTGACATCCCCATCCTTCCACGTGGCCATTAACTAGGTTCCCCAACTGTGAGGGTAGAGTGAGTGAACAAAGAACTTCAAGAAGGCACCTCAAGGGGGAAAAAATAACACCACTTTAAATAGCAAACTGTCCATTTCCAAAGGGGAGAGGTTGTTTTTAAAAAAGAAAAAAACTAAACTTCTGTTGCAGAGATTGGAGGTCTCAAGCCACCAACGGGGCGGGAGGTAGCACGCGCTCCGGCAGGCGCCGAGGAGTGGTAGGTTTCTGGTGGTGGTGGTGGTGTTTTTAAACACTGAAGTTGTAAAGGAACTATATTACGGGGAGAATTGTTCTGACGGGACCAGCTGTATTAAAGCTTTTTCGTCCAGGCACAGAGCACGCCCCCTCTGCCTCCCTTCCTCAGCCATTCTTCAGGAGTGCGGAGAGCCGCGAGCAGGCAGGGCCCTGGGACCAGCGCGCTCCTCCCGCCACTCCAGCCCCTGCAGGTGCCCGTGCATAAGAAAGCCGGGGCCCTCGCCCCCCTCCCCGCCACTGCGGTGCGGTCCTGGGGTCGGGTCACGGCGCGCCCCATCCCGGGCACCGCACCTGGAGAGGCGCCGGGACGCAGGGAGGGCCCCCGGCGGAGGCAGCACCCGCTCGGCCGGCGGCCCCGCCGCGCACGCACGCACACACACACACGGACAGCGGCGCGCCGGGAGGGGCGCGCGGGGGCGCGGGCGGCGGGCGCGTTACCTGTTCTGCCAGCCCTGGAGGAGGTTGGTGTATTTGCTGAGCACGCCCTCGAGCGCCGGCTCCCGCCTGCGGCCGCCGCCTCCGGACGGACTAGCGGCCACCGAGCCCGGGCTGCTGCGGCTGCCCCCGCCGCCGAGCCCCGCTCCCGCCGACCGGCTGGAGACCCCCCGGCCGGCCAGGGAGCAGGAGGGCGACGAGCCCGCCGAGGTGGCGCGGCTGCTGCTGCGGCTGCTGCTGTTGCTGCCCCCGCCGCCGTCTGCGCCTTGGGCCGCCCTCTCCATGGTCCGTGCGCGCCGGGAACGCGGGGGCCCGCCGCGGTGGCGGCCCCGGCGCTGGGGCTGCTGGCGCGGCGGCGGCGGCTGCTACAGCTCCCGGCGCCCGGGCCGCGCGTGGCTGCTCCAAATCCCCGGGAAATGCCTGACTCATACAGGAGGAAGAGGAGGAGGCGAAGCAGAGCTGGGAAGGAAGCCAACGGGGCTGGATGCAGCTGCGGCCGCCCCTCCTCCTGCCGCGGCCCCGGCCCCGGCCCCTCCCTCCGCACTAGTTTCCTCGGCAAGTTCGGCGAGCGGGTGGCCGGTTCGGCGAGCCCTCCTCGGGTTCCTCTTCCTCTTGTTTCGAGTCCCAGCGGCCGCTCAGGCCCGGGGGCGGGGGGCGCTGCCGGGCGCCCAGCCGCAGGGTGGGCACGCCCTGTCACCCTCGCGTCCCTTCTGCCGCCCCCTCTCGGAGCCGGAGGGGCGAAAGGGAATCTCCGCGCGCTCCTCCCCACCCCCACCCCCCACCCACCTCGGGACCTGGAGGGAGGGGCGGCCCCACCCACCCGGCCCACCCGGATATGGGCCCGCCCCGCCTGGCACGGGCACACGCGCACCGTCCCTCCCTCTGCCTGCCGCGCCACGCCGGGGCCAGACACACATACACGGTAACCTGGAAATGAGCCTCGCGGGCCGCGCAAAGTAACAGGGCGGCGACGTCGTCCAGGTTCTCCTGCATGTCGGGTAGGGGCGGGAGGGCAGGTGCTTCTCACAGGTAAGCTCGCCCGGGCATTTTCACGCTGCGGAGTTGTGGTAAATGCATCGTGGACACCAGGGCCCGGACTGAAGTAGGGCAAGAGAACCCAGGTTCCTGGCAGTGCCTCCTTACACTGAGTGCTCTGGGCGCCTCACTCGCCTCCCCCTAATCCCCACACTGATGGACGCGTCAATCTGGCAAGTCAAACCTAGCGAGCGGTGTTCCCGTACAGCGCCAAGCCCCTGGGAACCAGGGACCCTAAAACGAGTAGAGTGCACTAAAGGCAAAGGAAATCAACAGAGATTTACAATCATGGTGAAGTATGTATTCTCTGCTGGCTGTTAACTTCTTCAGTGCACCCCCACCCCAAGATACACTGAGCTGCTGCAACTAGGTCTCTAAATCTAAAATTGTTGCTCTTTGGTAAAAGTAGATGAGTTGCACTCTCTCCACCCCACTAATAATTTTTGTGAGTATAAATATCCAGTGCAATCTGGAAGTTTCTAAAATTATCTAGAAAAATAGCTTTGAGGAGCTCAGACACCACACACACACACACACACACACACAAAGGGTGATAGATTGATAGGTAATCCCTGCCTGAAGGATCCACAAACCCGTAAAGCAGATAAATAATTCAACAGTTAAAAAAAAAAATTACTAAATGGAATAGAGTCAGCTCTCATGGGGGCAATTCCCCAAGCCCCACCCCTTTCTATAGAAGCTTCATATCCTTCCCAAAGCTTTCAAAGGTGGTTTACCTTTAGAAATTTTCATGGAGAGCTCCTGGGGCTGATTAGAAGTGGTTATGCTCTGAATAAATTACAATTCCAGTTGCCTATACAGTGTAAAAAGAGAAAAGATCCCCCAAAGAAGAGATTCCATGGTAGAAAAGACTGACTCTGAAGCCAGACCAAGCTGAGTTGGAATCTATGACCTCCATGGAGTTACCACTTTTAGCCTTCATTTTCTTACCTGCCAAATGGGACCAAATGGTACTACTGGCTGTGATGGACTATGTGAGACTGTTTATTTGTTCAAAATATTTACCGCCTCTCCTTATGGGAGTATCCTCCCTCCCTCATTGACCAGGCTTGGCTGTGGAGCTGCTTTGGCCAGTGGAATATAAACAGATGTAAAATATACCACTTCCAAGCATAAGCTTTAAGAGCCATCATATAGTTCAACCATCGTTCTCTTTTCCTTCTACCAGGAGATCAGCATGTCCCAGGTAAAGGATCCCCTTCAGTCTGGGTCCTGGAGTGAGAAGATGTGTAGAATTCAGCAGAGCCAAAACCAATTAGCATTGGCCATGTCACGTGCACAAAGTGTTTGTTATAAGTCACAGAGATTTTATTTTTTTGAAGACTTTATTTATTTGAGAGAGAGCACAAGAGAGAGCAGAAAGCACAAGTAGGGGGTCGGGGAGAGAGGGAGCAGAGGGAGAGGGAGGAGCAGACTCCCTGCTGAGCAGGGAGCCCGATGCAGGGCTTGATCCCAGGACCCCAAGACCATGACCTGAGCCGAAGGCAGACGCTTAACTGACTGAGCCAGGTGCCCCGAGATTTTTTTTTTAAGATTTTTTAAATTTATTTTAAAGAGAGAGAGAGCATGTGCACTCGAGGAAGGGGAGGGGCAGAGGGAGAGAGAGAATCTCAGGTAGACTCCCAAGTTGAGTGTGGAGCCCAAGGGGCTCAATCTCACAACCCTGAGATCATGACCTGTGCTGAAATCAAGAGTCAGATGCTCAATCCAGTCGCCCAACACTGAGATTTTAGGAAGCATTTTTACCACAGCATACTTTGTCTAAGCCACCTGATACATGGACCACTATGTGAGTGTCCATGAAGTTCTTCACTGATATGAACACTGAGAAGGTGGGCACATACTGAACTATAAATATCAGTCATGATGTGCCAGAATAACACCCCTTTTTATGGGAGACTGTCAATCCTAAATTCCTGTTGAAAGGGGAGAAGTGCCATCATTTTATTTCATATCATCCAACCTCCATTATCACCATTACTCCATCCTACCCAGCTGATCTGTGACTGGATGAGATAGTGCAGCAATTTCTCACCTTAGACCAAAAATCTGAGACTCTTGAGATTGTCCAGTTGAAGGGAGGAGGGGCTACGCTGAAAGGAATAGTCAAGGCTAGTGTGTTAGACCGTTCGGGGCTGCTATAACAAAATACCATGGCCGGGTGGCTTATTAACAACAAATTTATTTCTCACAGTTCTGGAGGCTGGAAGTCCGAGATCAGGGTGCCAGCATGGTCAGATCCCTGTGAGAAGTCTGCAGGGCCCCAGATTTATTATATCTTCACATGGAGGAAGGGGCTAGGGAACTCAGTGGGGTCTCCTTTGTAAGAGCACAAGCCCATTCATGAGGGCTCTGCCTTCTGGGCCTGGGCTCCTCCCAACGGCCCCACCATCACACGGGGCCTAAGGATTTCAACGTATGAAGTTGGGAGAAACAAACATTCAGACCATAGCAGGCAGGATGGGCCAAGAGCAAATCAATTGTGTGGGATCAGAAATGGCCAAGGAGGGAAGTCGGTAGCAAGAAGTAAGTGGAGCAGACATACTGGAAGAAGAAGGTGGTACCATGAGAGAGATGAGGCAGATGTCCTCCCCTCCCAGCAGCCCTCTTCCCTGCTCTCCTTGCATGGTTTGGGCTTCTACCCATGGAGTTTTGTATTAAAAGTCACTTCTTACAGAAAGCTTTCCTGACCCACCCTAGTGTAGCAAGATACTTGCAAAAGATACTTGCAAAATTCTCTTTGGAGAGGAAAGCCTTTATGTTAGAAAAACAATTTTGAGAACAAAAGATGGCTAAGCGTCTGACTCTTGGTTTCGGCTCAGGTCATGATCTCATGGGTCGTGAGATCAAGCCCCGTGGTGTTGGACTCTGAGCTCAGCAGTCTGCTTGAAGATTCTCTCCCTCTACCCCTCCCCCAACTCGCATGCACGTTCTCCCTCTGTAAAATAAATAAATAAATCTTTAAAAAAAAAGAAGGAAAAAAAAAGAAACAGTTGGTCTGATGTGTTCTCCATCCCAGATAATAAAAACAATAGCTGATATTCATTGAGCACTTACTATGTGCCAGGAAGGCACTGTTCCAAGTGTTTTAATAAAAATAGCAACTGTGGCACCTGAGCGGCTCAGTCGGTTAAGCATCCGACTCTGGATTTTGGTTCAGGTCATGAAGAAAGAGAAGTTAAGGAGTAGATCCCATTTACAATTGCACCAAAACCCACAAGATACCTAGGAATAAAGCTAACCAAAGAAGTAAAAGATCTGTACTCTGAAAACTATAGAACACTTATGAAGGAAATTGAGGAAGACACCAAGAAATGGAAAAACATTCCATGCTCATGGATTGGAAGAACAAATATTGTTTAAATGTCTATGCTAACTAGAGCAATGTATGCATTCAATGCAATCTCTATCAAAATACCATCAACTTTTTTCACAGAGCTGGAACAAATAATCCTAAAATTTGTATGGAACCAGAAAAAACCCAAAATAGCCAAAAGGAATGTTGAAAAAGAAATCCAAAACTGATGGTATCACAATCCTGGACTTCGAGCAGCTCTATTACAAAACTGTCATCATCAAGACAGCATGGTACTGGCACAAAAACAGACACAATAGATCAATGGAACAGAATAGAGAGCCCAGAAATGGACCTTCAACTCTATGGTCAACTAATCTTTGACAAAGCAGGAAAGAATGTCCAGTGGAAAAAAGACAGGTCTCTTCAACAAGTGGTGTTGGGAAAATTGGACAGCCACATGCAGAAGAATGAAACTGGATCATTTCCTTACACCATGCACAAAAATAGACTCACGATGGATGAAAGGCCTAAATGTGAGACAGGAGTCCATCAAAATCCTTGAGGAGAACACAGGCCACAGCAACTTCTTGCTAGACACATCTCCAAAGGCAAGGGAAACAAAGGCAAAAATGAACTATTGGGACTTCCTCAAGATAAAAAGCTTTTGCACAGCAAAGGAAACAGTCGAACAAACCAAAAGACAACCGACAGAATGGGAGATGATATCTGCAAATGACATATCAGATAAAGGGCTAGTATCCAAAATCTATAAAGAACTTATCAAACTCAACACCCAAAGAACAAATAATCTAATCAAGAAATGAGCAGAAGTCATGAACAGACATTTCTCTAAAGAAGACATCCAGATGCCAAAAGACACATGAAAAAGTGCTCAACATCACTTGGCGTCAGGGAAATACAAAGCAAAACCACAATGAGATACCACCTCATACCAGTCAGAATGGCTAAAATTAACAAGTCAGGAAATGACAGATGTTGGCAGGGATGCAGAGAAAGGGGAACCCTCCTACGCTGTTGGTGGGAATGCAAGCTGGTGCAGCCACTCTGGAAAACAGTATGGAGGTTCCTCAAAAAGTTGAAAATAGAGCTACTCTACAACCCAGCAATTGCTCTACTAGGGATTTACCCCAAAGATACAAACGTAATGATCTGAAGGGGCACTCACACCCCAATGTTTATAGCAGCAATGTCCACAATAGCCAAATCATGGAAAGAGCCCAGGTGTTCATCGACAGATGAATGGATAAAGAAAACATGGTATATATATATAATATATATATATATATAATATATATATATATACACACACACACACACACACACACAATGGAATACTACTTTCAGGGGCACCTGGGTGGCTCAGTCTGTTAAACGTCTGCCTTC